AAAACTTATAGAAATCTTTAAGTAAGTTGCACATATAACTTACGAGTTTACTTTCTTGAGCGTTTGCTTACTAAGACCCAACAATAATTATAGCGAAATTCAGTGTTTAAAAGAGGGTGTCCTTAGTGAGACTACTAAAAACATCCCTGCAAGAAGCTTTCCGGTCATTTGAGCCAACATATGCCAGGAATGCATGACGACATATCCCTTCAGCTCGTAGCACGATTTTCCTATCACTTTTTTAAGGCCGAAATGACAAGCATGATGTTTACATTTTTATACAAGTACGTCATTCTCTCTTCGTTTCCTCGTGCACTTTTGTCATTTTCTTTCGGATAAACAGCACACAGCTGAGCGACAGCATTGATACCAAAAGAAAACAATATGGACGTAGAAAAACAGCAACAGTGCCGTACAAGCCGAACACATATGAGCGACAGTACTGAAGTCGAAGGAAATCAGCTTTGACAAAAATTTTCCCTACATTTGTTTTTTCAAAATTTATTTATTTATTTATGAATATCTATTTTGTCCCCTTCAAAAAATCATTTTTTTTATCTTGTTCAGCTCCTACTTCGATGCCGACTTTATCTTGTCAATCGTAGCGTAACGTCGTCCTTTCATGGGCCTCTTCAGTTTAGGGAACAAGAAAACACCCTGCAATCGAAGAAAACTGTCAGCAAAACTTTCGTTAAAAATTAAAAATCGAAGATCAACCAAAACACGTGCACAATGCAAAGCAGCTGTCAACAATTAAGTGAAGATTCCAAATGGCCGAGCTTGTCGGCATAAGTGACAGACATGAGTACCAATTGGCGCAGACTGTTGGGCCCACCTTTTTATGGACTGGAAAAAACACACCTAAATTCCATTCTGAGAAGAAGCTGATGTGTGCACCTGATCATTTTTTCACTACCGTGTTTGAATAGCTCGCCGGTAGGGCGTCAACTCAAACCGCTTTGTTGTTCTTTTCACGGGCAATTGTTAATCGAAACTCAGCATAGTCGGGAAATGGAAAGTATTTTCCATCGTCATCGATTAGGGCACGGCAGTGCCTTCAGCACCTGTAGCCATTCCGGGTAATCAGCAGACCTCCATGGTCTCACGGAGCTCCCCGCAGCATGATTCCCTCCAACCTCCACCCCCATCCCCACCCACAACCAGCTCCTCATCCTCCCCCCGTGCGAGGGCTTCCCACTGCACCCGCACTGTCTGTTCCGTATGTCAGACCATAGTGCGTCGGAACGTGACCTCAGTCAGATGCAATTTTTGCTCTGGCTGGTGTCACTTTCGGACATGCTCTGGCCTGCGCACCACCCGTGAGTGGAGCGATGCGTACGTTGCCCCATGCTGTAGGAGTCTGCCCCCGCATGTCCCTACAAACCCTCCGCCAATCAACACCAATGTGGTGTGGTGCGGGTGGTACAGCAGCAACACACATCATCCACGCATCACTCCCTCACCCCCCTGTATCACGAACGTTCCCCCGAGAAAGACCCGACTTCTACAATTTAACTGCAACGGACTCCAGGGAAAGATTGACGAGATAGTCGCCTACATGAGCCGGGAGCACATGTCAATTGCTGCGATCCAGGAAACTAAGTTGACCAGATCTTCCGAGCCGGGCCGGATACAACATATTCCGCAAGGATCGCGAGCGAGACCACGGTGGGGGTTTAGCGTTCATCCTGCACAACACCGTGCAGTATCGTCTGGCGACATCGACCGCAGGGATACTACTCTAGAATCTATCCGGTCAGGCGATGTTGAGCTCGAAATATTCAATATATACATTCCTCCAGTTACAAGCTGCCCAGCTGGATACACTCCTGATATAGGTGCGCTACTCAGGGGCGAAAATCGTTTGGTTTTGGGCGACTTTAACGCGCATCACGATCTTAGGCATTTTAGCCTGTCAAATGACCATAGAGGAGTGGGGCTGGCGGAACAAATATACGACTCTACATTCTGCACAATTAACGATAACACCCCCACCAGAGTTATGGGTAATTGCCAAAGCTCGCCAGACATAACAATTGCGAGTGCTGATCTGATAAACAATACAGTCTGGCGACCTATACTGACGTTAGCATCGGACCACTTGCCCGTACAAATCTCGATTGACAGGCCTCCCGACTTTGTTTCCGCGGACCACCGGACGTTTGTTAACTTTAAAAAAGCTAACTGGCCCGGATTCACGGGATTTACTGAGGACGCCTTCAGTGCTCTTCCCACTCCAACTGACGTCACCGCTGGTGAACGCTTATTCCGCAGGGTCGTCGTGACCGCTGCCGCCCGCTTCATCCCGGCAGGCCGAATTGCGGAAATCCGCCCAAATTTTCCGACAGAAGCGGCGGTACTAGCATCCAGGCGCGACACCCTCCGCAGCTACGATCCCGGGAATCCCCTAATCAGGGATTTAAACGCGGAGATTTGAAGAGTTGTCAACACATCATAAGCGGAAAAAGTGGGAGGAGCACCTAAGGACCTGCAACCTCTTCTCTGGGGCAACCAAGCTCTGGGCTACAGTCAAGTCGCTGTCTAACCCGACGAGACGCGATGACCGGGTGGAAATTTCATTCGGTGTTAGCGCCTCGTCGGACCCGAAGAGATGCGCGAGCTATTTTAGCCGACTTTTTACACTGCATCCCTCGGTAGACAAAACGAAACGACGTGTGACACGCCGCGGTGCTTGATTTCTCCAGGGCGGAGGTTCAGGGGGTCATCGGGGAGGCGTAAGCCTCCAAATCCATCGGCCCCGACGGAATAGGCATGCTGATGCTGAAACATCTTGGACCAGCGGGAGCAGAATTTCTCGCGAGGGTCCTCAATCTGTCTTTGACCACCCTGAAGATACCCGACGTGTGGAAAATGGGTAGGGTGGTCCCGCTACTAAAACCGGGGAAACCAGCCAACAAAGGAGAGTTCTATCGGCCGATAACGCTCCTCTCCCCAGTAGCGAACACACTTGAGGCCTTACTGCTCCTGACCTTCACTCACCATCTGCGACCAGCAGCGCATCAGCATGGCTTCCCAAAAGTGCACAGCACCACAACAGCACTTAACGCCATAAACACCCAGATAGTCCATGGCCTCAACCAAAACCCTGCGCGCGAACTGTCCTAGTAGCACTGGACTTGTCAAAAGCTTTTGACACAATCAATCACTCAGTGCTACTAACGGACATTGAGGAATCCTTATTATCGCCGGGGTTTCAGAGGTTGGTCATGGGCTACCTGAGTGGTCGACAATAATCGGTAATATTCCGAGGTAAAACATCTAAACCCAGAAAAATTAAACACGGGCCTCCGCAGGGTGGTGTCCTCTCCCCGCTAGTGTTTAACTTTTATATATCGAAACTCCCTCCACCACCAGAAGGAGTTTCCCTAACCTCGTATGCCGATGACTGTACGATAATGGCGTCCGGCCAGGATATTGATGCGAAAGTAAACGGCTACCTCTGCTGATCTCTCCCACTTCTTCACTGCAAGAGAATTACGAATCCAACCAACAAAATCCTCGGCTACCCTCTTCACCAGCTGGACGATGGAGCCCAGGCTTGAACTAGATGTGAAGGTCGATGACACAAAAATTCCGACGGTAAATAACCCAAAAATTTTGGGAGTAACTCTAGACAGCCTGCACTCCTTCACTCCGCATACGACCGCAATTGCCGCAAAACTCCAGAGCCGCAACAAAATACTCAAAGCGCTAGCCGGCAGCACCAAGCAATTGGCCGGCCGGTCGTAAACTATGCTGTAGTGATCTGGGCGCCGGGGACAAACGAGACGTAGATGAAGATGCTACAGGCTTGCCAAAACACCGCCCTCAGGACCGCGACAGGAAACCTCCTGATGTCGCCGGAGCATCACTTGCACAGGGAAGCATCTATGCTACGAGTTAAGGAGCATAATGCTTTGCTGTGCAAGCAGTTCCTATTCGGATGCTACCGCAGGGAGCACCCCAGTAGGCACCTAATAGAGGCTGAACCTCCACCTAGACACATCAGAAAAGGAGTACTAGATTTAAAGGACACAATCCAGCAACACACACAACAACCGCTGGACAGGACGGCATACCGACAAGCACTGAACGCCATTCACCAGGAGTCAGTCAACACGTTCATGGACTCCCTTCCAGTGAATGACGTACTCGGAGAAATACCACCACCCAAAGCAGACAACGAGCTCGAGCTGCCTCGAGAGACCCGCGTGACCCTGACACAACTCAGGTCTGGATATTGTAGCAGGTTAAACTCCTACCTATCCAGACTAGACCCCAGCATATCTAACGTATGCCCTGCATGTGGAGAGTCCCCGCACGACACTAACCACCTCTTCACATGCCCCCTCAGACCCGCTCATCTAACCCCCCTCACCCTTTGGTTCAACCCCGTCGAAACAGCTCGTTTCCTGGACCTACCACTAGATGACCTCGGCGACTTAGACTGAACAAACTTGTGCCTTAGCGGGGTTAGTGAACCGCTACAACAACAACAAGCGATGAAAACAAAAAACAAACTTTTTTTTTGATTTTCGAAACTTTTGATTGATTTTTGTATTCAGTGTATTTTTATTTTGTAAGTAGGAAGACATGTTCTGCGAACAGGGGAAGTGTATTATTATCGTGGTTGGTAATGCATCGATTTGTATTTTTTTACTTACTTTTAGTAATTGCTTTATTATTAATCGATCTATGGGACGGTGAATAATAATTATTTTGCTCATTTAAATTATGATCGTTTCTTGTGGTTGAATTTACGTTACTGTATTTAATTTGCGTGGTATCGCCTCTTACCCATCCTGGCCAGTTAATTGTACTTTGTACAATATTGCTATGATTTGTATTAATAAATGGTGGTAAAAACGGCGTATCACCGAAATTTATGTTCATTAGCTTGCCACTGTTACTATCATCGAGACCTGCACCAACACCACCACCACCATAATCAACACTAAGACCATCACTAACACCAACACCACTTTTTCCGGTATCCTTACCATTGTTATTTTTATGCGTTGCATGATGTTGCTGTGACGCCACATTATTTATGCGTATACCAGTCTGTCCGTGATGGCCAGGATATTGCCCAATACCACCGCCACTGGATATCATATGTATTCCTCCGTGAACACCTGGTGTTAACATAACGCCCCCACTATGACTACCAATTCCACCAGCTTGAATTGGAATACGATTGAACTGATCAATATTTGTATTGATAGATGTACTACTTGCACCGTTCAAAGGCTTAATTTGCATACCACCATTGTTAACAGCAACGCCACTGTTCATACCAATATTAGCACCGCCGATTGGCATTAATCCAGTATTCACACCATTTATGCCGATCGTGTTTATATTATTGAAATGCTTATTCTGATTCATATTGGACTGAGTATTGACACCATCAATGTTGGCTGAGTTATCAATGCCAGTTGCCATACCGTTACCATCACCTACACCGGCGCCACCACTGCTACCACCACCGCCACCAGTGCTACCACTACCGCCAGATGATGAACCGATGGCACCGTTTCCTACAATTGTTGTCTTGTTTTTCTCTTCGGGTGCGCAACATACTTTAAACACAACTTTCATATTATTTGTCGAACATCGCCCACCTATTCGTCGATACAGGTCATCCTTTGAAGAAGTTGCTATAGTAAAAAATAAAAAAAATTTTAAATTCTGTAACATATGTTATGTTTAAACACATCTCATGTTCAAAATTCAGTTCTACTTACAAATGAAATAATAATCATTTCCTGGAAGGAACTCCAAACCACCTGGCTGTGGTGTAAATGGCCGGAACGTTATTGTAAAAAACATTAATTTTTGCGGTTTATCACAAATGGCAATGACTCGCGGATCCGCATTTGTTATCCGACATGTTTCGTACTCCACTTTTGAGACATTATATATTATATATTTTTCCGTTTCATTTTCATAGGTGCCAGGCTCGTATACGGGACAAATGATGTGTACTTGATCAAATTCGAATGCCAAATTTCCCTTGTTTACATCGATTATGTGGTCCGTATTATCTATGCGAAATCTGCAATAGTAAAGGAAAATGAGCAGCTTCTATAGGGTATTTGTAAATCAAAAAACGATTGTATTTACATACATATACACAAATATTTTAATTAACAGTAGAAAATTTGAAGATCCAGAAACCACATTAAAATTTTAGCTCTTTTATGGAAGGCTATATATAAACGCTTTTAAGTCTACAAATATTTGACAATCGCGCTTGGAATCGATAATAATAGCTGTGTTCGTTGAAAAATGTCAGTAGAAGCCAGCAAGTAACGAAATTGAGAGAGTAATGCTGCAACTACCCAACGCGCGTACCAGCCGTACATAGAAACCTATCTTGAGAGAGCGCCATGTAAACCAAAGATGACTAGATACGAAACTTACTCAAATCGCAGCTGAGAGCGTTCCCCCATCTCACATTCTAATGTTGGCAGCAGTGTCAGATCGGGGAACATTCAACATCTGATGTGCAAAAAGCACCAGTGCCACTATGCCAATAAAAAAATCCATTGTTTTTGTTTCAAAAGAAATTTGCTTCAGCAGTAAATATTAAAGAAATTATTGTAATTTTATTACTAATACTTAATATAATTAAATACTGAATTGTTTCTCAATGAAATTTTTCAGTGAAATTGCAATTAAAGACGTCCTTGTTTGTAATAAAATACCCAAAATATACCTAAAAATCCAAATAAGTCGTTTTTCCATCACAGTGGCACTGTTCAGAAATGTTATAAAAAATTCGGATTTTTGAGCGCTCTCACGGAATAAAGAGTTTCGTATCTGGTCATCATTGATGTAAACACAAAGTTGTCACCGATTTACCATAGCGTTGCTGACGTTTGTGTCGTAGAAACCAACGAAGTTTTGATTTTTCCGTAAAACCGGCTCGGCTCATTTTTCGTTGCTATACAAGGTTGCCAGTATAGCCTTTCTTAAAGTAACATTAAATAATCGAAGATAATGCGTAGTTTTGTTCAAAAGAAATGAAAACTAAATGCGTAACTAATTATTTGTTACTATATAGATCATGTATATTTGCCTTGTGTTTATGTTAAAGCAAATAAATTATGAAATTCGTTGACGAAAATTATGAATTTGTTCAAAAGTGTGCAAACACACAGGCAGCTGGCAACATTTCGCCGCTCTCAGCAGCGTCGATAGCTCGTGTATGTATTTCACTACTAACGTCGTCAGTTATGGACGGCTGGAGAGTGAGTTGGGTAGTTGCAGCCTTAGGCTCTACGGTTCTACGGAAAAAATCAAATCTTCGTTGGTTTCTGCGGATCCAAGCGGTGACAACTTTGTGTTTACATGGCGTTCTCATAAGAAAGGTTTCTTTGTACGGCTGGTACGCGCGTTGGGTAGTTGCAGCATAATTCTGCAACTACATCCTATATACCGCCCAGCCATAACACAGACAAATACGAGTATCTTCTGCGGGGCAACCGTCAGTAACGGCATCAACAAACGGTGACAACTTTTCATTTACAATAGCGCCAAGTAAGATAGGTTGCTGTGGACGGAAGGACGCAGAAACCAGCGGCGATTTGATTTTCTCCTTAAAACCGGTTTAGCTCATTGCTCATTGTTACTCAAGGTTGTCGGTATAGTCTTTTTTAAAGTAATATTAAATAATAAGATAACGCGTATTTTTTTCGAAAGAAATAAAAATTAAACTCGTAACTCATTATTTGTTACCATATGGATTACGCATATTTGATTTGCGTTTTTATTCGAACATATAAATTATGAAATTTGTTGACGTTTGTTCAAAAGTGTGTAAACACAGTGGTAGCTGGCAACAATGCTTTACTCTCCGAAAAAAAAAGTTTTCAACGAGCAGGATTCAAAAAACTAGCCAGTTGTTCAACAGCTGTTTACTTTCGCAGTTAGTGTTGAATTTGTTCATTTATACAGTGGTTTTAAGTATTTTCCAACATAAGTACTTCAATAAAATGGGCAACTAACATTTTTAATTTATTAATTATATTCAATATGGAATGTATTTCAACAGTGATGAAATTCTATATGCTTTATAACCGTCCAACGATAAATATATTAAAAGTTTTTTCTAATATTCCCTTAAAATGACGCAGATTGATGTAGAACTTGCTTTGCAACAATCTAAGCATATCTTTTTTTCAGTAAGAATGAAGAAAGAGTACAAAAATAAGTTTGAAATTCTTTTTCAGCGTAAGCCGGCCATATTAACGTAACATTATTAAAGATTTTGTTTAATTACATATCAACTAAGAGCTTTATTTTTCCTTCAAAACGCTACTAATATTTCATTTTGCGCATCGTCGTTACTTCTGAAAGATTAAGAATGCGGTATCCTCATTGTGGCCCTAGCAGCAACTTTGCTTCGACTTTGTTATGCGGCTCCTTTGGTGGCCAGGGCTTTTTGGTAAGTTATAGAAATCCTACTGGAAATATTAATATATTCTAATTCTATGCCTTCCTAACTTCTAATTTCTCAACGGAAGCTTAAGCCATCGCCTTAACTTCACTGCCACCACATTTTTGTTTAATGAGTGTCTTGAACAACATTACATTAATCCACTTATTTTGTTAGCATATTATTCATATTAAAGAGTTAAAATTATTTCCATATTAAATCAATTTGTCTTTTGTTGACAAAAATTTGACCATATCCCTGCAAGAACGGATTGATGGGTTCACCATCACCCTCACACGATTAAGGGCAGCACTAGTGCATATGCACATTTTGTTGTTTATCTTCTCTCTCTGAGTACATACAAATTGAAGAAAAATGTTGTTGAATGGATTATCCGATTTTCTTTGTTCTTATTTTCGAGTAGAGCGCCATTTTTTATCGTTTACTGCGCAGTAGATAGAAGTGAAAAATGCATGATCAGGATCCTGTACAAGCTATGGTAATAATATATTTTGGATTTATTAAGTATAAAGATTTAGTAAGTACTTCATTTTTCATTGCTTTCTACATTTGTTTATTTAAGGGCACTCCAGCTAATGGAGCAGTTTGACTGTAATGGGCGGACGCTTCTCATCTTGCTGCAGTAGCAGATTTAAAAATATTCAAGAAAACTGGGCAAGGTGTAACTGTATTTAGACATCAATATTATTATTATTGACACATTTTTTTTTCCACCTAGATGACTTTATACTTCAAAAGAGCTGCGATTATGACGGAGGCGTTCGTGGAGCTGAGAAGCTGCGTCACTATTAAAGACTTCTTCTGTATATGCGGTTTTGTTTATATTTTGCTGATTTTTGTACCGAATTTTTTGTTGTATTGTTATTTGTTTTGTTTGCAATGTAAACCATGCACATAATTTATGTTAAATATTGAAATAAAGACTGAATCTTAATAATGTTTGTATGCATGTATATATGTGCGAAAATTTTTGTTAAAGCTGATTTCCTTCGACATCAATGCTGCTGTTTTTTTACGTCCATATTGTTTTCTTTTGTTAATGCTGTCGCTTAGCTGTGCTCTGTTTGACCGTTTTGTTCGATTTTTCGATTTCCCTTAGACGCGCCCCTCGGCCGGTTAAGGGGGAGGTGGGTAACGCTGGGTTCGTCGTAAAAATGACAAATGACAAAAACAAGGAAGCGAAGAAGATGATCACAAATCAGCCGTTTTTCATACTTCCTAGTTTTTACTGGATCAAATTTTCCCAACACGAACTTTCAACTTTCTCTCGTCCTATATTCCATTTCGTGGTAAGGTATCTTTACCATGAATCAAAATATATGTAAACATTGGCACCACAAAGTTTATGTTCAATCTTCAATTTAAGTTGAATTATTTACTTTCAATACAATCACAATATAGGGCTTTTTTAGAACGACTCTACCGTGATACCTAGCTTTTCGTAAAATTATTCTAGCAGTCTCAGCAAAATCTGTTTTCGAACCGCGACGTTTTTAATTATATTTGTTGACTTTATTCGCAGGTTAACTTTCACCATACTTATTATTTTGCCTTCAAATATTTTTGGACGGCAATCTTGGGGTTTCCAAATAGAAATTCAGACTTGCTTGAAATTTTTTACTACTTCGTTTTTGTATTTGGTAACTAAAAATATAAAAAAGAAATACAAGAACCACCGGTGGCGCTAGAGTGTCTCATCGAGTGGCGATAATAAATATATAGTCGATTAATTAACTACTTCATTTTCCATTGCTCTTTCCTTTTTTTATTTTATTAATTCAGTATGTCGCGTGCTGACCGCAACAAAAACTTCTGTTGTGTTTGTATGTTCACTTTCTTTGTTCTTCCTAAGCTTCCTTTCACTTCAAGCGTTGGCAGTGACATCTGTCGGCAAATAGTTGCATTATTTAAGGCCATGGGTTGATGGCACGGTTGCATTCGGTGCGTGCCTATCCAGTGGTATAAGTCTCCAAAAGGAGGTGTTCCCCAAAACGGTCCCTCCACTAACAAAAATGAGGGCAACGGAATGCTATACTACTATCGAGGTGAAACATTGTAGCCCAGAAAAACTAAAAAGGGGATTCCGCAGGGTGGGGTCTACTACTGTATAATTTTTATATTTCGAAACACCCTCCTCCACCAGAAGGAGTTTACCTAACTTCGTATGCCAGTGATTGCACGATAATGGCGTCTGGCCATTATATTGATGACCTTTGTGAGTAAACTGCCACCTTGCCGATCTTTCCTACTTCTTCACTGAACGACAACTTAAAATACATCCGACCAAATCCTCGGTTACCCTCTTCACCAGAGCCGCAACAAAATACTCAAAGCGCTAGCCGGCAGCACCTGGGGTAAAGATAAAGAAACTTTGCTGGCTACTTATAAAGCAATTGGTCAGCCGGTTGTTGTTGTAGCGGTTCGCTAACCCCCCTTAGGCACAGGCTTAATTAGTCTAAGTCGCCGAGGTCATCTAATGGTAGGCCCAGGAAACGAGCTGTTTCGACGGGGTTGGACCAAAGGGAGAGGGGGGTTAGATGAGTAAGTTTTAGGGGGCATGTGAAGAGGTGGTTAGTGTCGTGCGGGGACTCTNC